GGGACTCGGGGAGCTCTGAGGGGGCTCTGAGGGAGCTGAAAGTGCCGCGGGGGCTCTGAGGAGACTCGGGGGGCGCTGAGGGGGCTCTGAGGAGACTCGGGAAGCTGTGAGGAAGCTCTGAGAGAGCTGTGAGGGAGGCTCGTCATGGGCGGGGCCTCGGAGGCCGCCACCGCTCATTGGCCACTGCTCGTTTCCCGCCTTTGCTAATGCCCTCCCAGAGAGCTGTCAATCACGCCCGTTCCTCCTTCTCATTGGCTCCTGCCTGTTCTCATTCCTGCTTCACTCCCCGCCCCATGGGGCAGCATCAGCGAATCAGAGCGCGAGGCCTTTTCCCGGCCGCCCATTGGCTGCCGCGAGCGCGGTGGGGCGGGGCGAGCCCAGCCCGCGTGTCATGTGAGGGCGCGGTCACGTGACAGCGGGTGTCATGGCGGCGGCCGGGGCGGCGGCGCTGCCGCTGCTGCTGCTCCTGCTCGGGGCGGCCGCGGGCTGCGGGTACCAGGTGGGGCCGGGATTGTCCGGGGACACCGGAGCGACCTCAGGAAACGGGAACTGGGAGCACTGGGATGGGCTGGGCGCGCGGAGAGAACGGGAACCGTGGCCTTGGGGGCTTGCAACCGCTTCCGGAGCCCAACGGCCCCGCCGTCTCCGGGAAGGGTCCCGGGGGTGTGGGGGTTCCTGGGGACGGGGGGTCCCGGGGGTGCTCCCGGGGATGGGGGGTCCCGGGGATGGAAGGGGGGGTCCCGGGGATGGAAGGGGGGGTCCCGGGGATGGAAGGGGGGGTCCCGGGGATGGAAGGGGGGGTCCCGGGGATGGAAGGGGGGGTCCCGGGGATGGAAGGGGGGGTCCCGGGGATGGAAGGGGGGGTCCCGGGGATGGAAGGGGGGGTCCCGGGGATGGAAGGGGGGGTCCCGGGGATGGAAGGGGGGGTCCCGGGGATGGAAGGGGGGGTCCCGGGGATGGAAGGGGGGGTCCCGGGGATGGAAGGGGGGGTCCCGGGGATGGAAGGGGGGGTCCCGGGGATGGAAGGGGGGGTCCCGGGGATGGAAGGGGGGGTCCCGGGGATGGAAGGGGGGGTCCCGGGGATGGAAGGGGGGGTCCCGGGGATGGAAGGGGGGGTCCCGGGGATGGAAGGGGGGGTCCCGGGGATGGAAGGGGGGGTCCCGGGGATGGAAGGGGGGGTCCCGGGGATGGAAGGGGGGGTCCCGGGGATGGAAGGGGGGGTCCCGGGGATGGAAGGGGGGGTCCCGGGGATGGAAGGGGGGGTCCCGGGGATGGAAGGGGGGGTCCCGGGGATGGAAGGGGGGGTCCCGGGGATGGAAGGGGGGGTCCCGGGGATGGAAGGGGGGGTCCCGGGGATGGAAGGGGGGGTCCCGGGGATGGAAGGGGGGGTCCCGGGGATGGAAGGGGGGGTCCCGGGGATGGAAGGGGGGGTCCCGGGGATGGAAGGGGGGGTCCCGGGGATGGAAGGGGGGGTCCCGGGGATGGAAGGGGGGGTCCCGGGGATGGAAGGGGGGGTCCCGGGGATGGAAGGGGGGGTCCCGGGGATGGAAGGGGGGGTCCCGGGGATGGAAGGGGGGGTCCCGGGGATGGAAGGGGGGGTCCCGGGGATGGAAGGGGGGTCCCAGGGGGTTCCCGGTGTGGGGGTCCCGGGGATGGAGGGTCCGGGGGGGGTCCCGGGGATGGAGGGGGGGGTCCCGGGGGGGATCCTGGGGCTATGGGGGGGTCCCAGGGCTGGGGTGTCCCAGGGGGCTCCCGGGGGTGTGGGGGGTCCCGGGGATGGAAGGGGGGTCCCAGGGGGTTCCCGGTGTGAGGGGGTCCCGGGGATGCCCGGTCCGAGCCCCCCCGCACCCCGCAGTCGTGCCCCCCGACGCGGCCGGACATGCTGAACGTGCACCTGGTGCCGCACTCGCACGACGACGTGGGCTGGCTGAAGACGGTGGATCAGTATTACTACGGGGGTACGGGGGGCGGCCCCGCTGCTCTCAGGGGAGGGGGGGTCTCACCTGAGGGGGGAACACCTGGGGGTGGTCTCACCTGAGGGGGGGATACCTGAGGGTGAGGGGTGGTCTCACCTGAGGGGGTGGACACCTGCGGGTGGTCTCACTTGAGAGAGGGATACCTGAGGATGAGGGGTGGTCTCACCTGAGGGTGGTCTTACCTGAGGGGGGACACCTGGGGGTGAGGGGTGGTCTTACCTGAGGGGGGGACACCTGCGGGTGGTCTCACTTGAGAGAGGGACACCTGGGGGTGGGGGTGGTCTCACCTGAGGGTGGTCTTACCTGAGGGAGGGACACCTGAGGATGGTCTCACCTGAGGGGGGGGATACCTGAGGATGAGGGGTGGTCTTACCTGAGGGAGGGACACCTGGGGTGGGGTGGTCTCACCTGAGCCTGGTCTCACCTGTGGGGGGGGATGGAGGTGACACAGCAGCGCCCCTGCAGCCTCCCCTTGTCACCCTGGCTTTGTCACCTGCGTGTCCCCGCTGTCCCCCGCTGTCCCCACCCCCTGAGGTGCCACTGTGTCCCCAATCCCTGTTTGGGGGTGACCCGGTGTCCCCGGTGTCCCCAATGTCCCCAATCTCTGTTTGGGGGTGACCCGGTGTCCCCGGTGTTCCCAGTCCCTGTTTGGGGGTGACCCGGTGTCCCCAATGTCCCCAATCCCGGCTGTTTGGGGGTGACTCGGTGTCCCCAGTCCCTGTTTGGGGGTGACTCGGTGTCCCCAGTCCCTGTTTGGGGGTGACCCAGTGTCCCCAATCCCAGCTGTTTGGGGGTGACCCGGTGTCCCCGGTGTCCCCAGTCCCTGTTTGGGGGTGACCCGGTGTCCCTGGTGTCCCCCCAGTGCGGAACCGGGACCAGCACGCGGGGGTGCAGTACATCCTGGACTCGGTGGTGGCCCAGCTGGCCGCTGTCCCCTCGCGCCGCTTCGTCTACGCCGAGGTGGCGTTCCTGGCGCGCTGGTGGCAGCAGCAGGACGCGGCCACGCGGAGCCTGCTCACCGAGCTGGTGCAGGAGGGTACGGGGCACTGGGGGCACTGGGAGGGACTGGAGGGAACTGGGAGGGAACTGGGGGGACACTGGGGGGGGGACATTGGGGGCCTGGGAGGGACATTGGGGGGCACTGGGAGGGACTG